CTTGGCCACTTTAAGATGAGTGGCTGGCTGGGGAATTCTGGGAGTTGAAGTCCACTCATCTTAAAGTGGCCAAGTTTGGACAACACCGTATTATGCATTCTAAATCCCTAGCAACATGTTCAGGAATACATCACTCTGCAACAAGTTGAACTGTCAAACAGCTTATCCTTGAAGCTCTGCATGACTGCTTCCAGACCAAGGAATGCCCCCTCCCAGTTACTGCTGTGGGTCCTCAGGCTCAGCTGTTTTGGTTTGGTTTGCATTTGCATATGAGATCAGCATTAAAATTTAATGTGTTTAGTTGCATAAGAGAAATGCAAATGCTCTTGAGAAAGAAACTCTCCTATTGCTTTGAACTTGAGGTCAGTTTTATTCTTTCACTAAAAGTAATGCTAAGAGTTACTTGAAGATGAAACATGCACAGGTATGCATCCCTGTATACTTTTGATGATGTCTGAGAAACTCAAGGCCGTTCACAAGAATTCATGGGATTAAGTGTATGGAATTTCACCTTTATGGATTCCGTAGTAGTCAAGAAGGAGCAGATGGCAAAGGCCTTTTATAGTCCTTTGCTTGAAATCATTTTTTTTTCATAATGAGTTTCCAAACCCACCTTTGCTTGTTCCTCTGGCTTCCCTTCCTTCATAGCTTACGCCACACAGATAGACAGAACTTTGACAGCATCAGCCATCTTCAATCTGAACATGGAACATTTCTATTGATCCAACGACTGCTATTAGAGATCAGATGATGTGTAAGTACATGTGTGAGAGAGATGAAAATATTTCAGCTGAGGAAGGATAAAATGTTAGGCATAGAGAGTCCTCTTGTACAAAGGTTTAGTGGGATAATCTAAATAGACTGGATGGCACTGGGTTCTTAAAATTCGGTGCATGTTGAAACACATTGCAAGAATTCAGACTCTGGACTCTGGACTCAGCCACCCAACCAGCAGCCACTAAGAGGCTGTGTTCCCTACCTCCAAGGAATAAATTTGTGGAAGGAGAAAAACCAATTGTTTTTTTTTAATTTTTAATTTAATTTTTAATATTTTTTTAATCTGTTAGCCAGAGAAGCTACTGCAGCTATTCAAATGCTTCTTTCCCTTTTCCTCCCTATTTCTTCATACTGGGTCTACCAGCTGTGAGACTGCAAGTAGATTTTAGGTATTTTCTGTGCTGATAATAATAATATCCAATAATTCTAATCTACATGATTATATGCTATCATACATAACCATGATTATGTGTAAAAAGACACATAATCATGGTTGTGCCATAGTTATTGAAAGTAAAAAGGCTTGCACATTCTGTACTGTGGAACTGTGAAATAATGAATCATCATCTCCCACATGTCTCAGGAGAAAACATTTGGAGCAGAGCAATGACACTGTTTCAGTTATGTGCTTACTAGAAGGCAGTGATAAAATGTGATTACTGTGAGCTGAAATCATTAGATAGTGGCTGAAAACTAATTGTGGAGACTCCCAGCAAAGTGCCAAATTAGGTTTTGCAGTTAGAATATTTACTGCTTTGGGGCAGTTGTCTTTGAGTGCCCCCGTTACGTCTTGCTTTGTGACTATATTGCATTTCTATATCAACAATTACTTTTTTCTAGATAGCTTTTAGCTCCCCCAGCTCAAGCATACGAAACAATTCAAACCAATTAGAATGGCTAAATGAGTTAAAAACAATTAATAGGACCAACTCTCCCCAATTGTCTCTACCCCTCCTATTTGATCTGGCAGGAGAGCCATGCTCTGGGTACCACTGGGTAAGAAGTGTTGGCCGGTGGGGCCCAGAAGGAGAACCTTTTCAGTGGTGGCACCAGCTCTTTGGAACACGATCCCCTCTGAGATTAGATTGGCCCCATCCCTGTCCGCCTTTTTTGAGGCCTTGAAAACTTGGTTTGTGCCCAAGTCTTGGGCCCTGCATGTGGGGTAGACCCCATCTCCTGCTGTGTGGATGATTGGTTGGATAATGTCCAGCTTCTATGTGTTTTATTTTTTATACTGTGTATTTTATGTATTTTATTTATTTTATTGTAAGCTGCCTAGGGTCACGTAAAAGTGAGATGGGCGGCTATATGAATCAAATGAATAAATAAGCTAAAAGCCTGAGCATACAGTTTGATGATCTCAAGGATTTTAAACCTGTTGTGTTAATTGGGAGTGTGTGCCAAAGCACAGCTGGAGTTACAACTTCCATCATTCCCAGCCAGTACAGTTGGCTTCCAGGAAGTTAACATGTTAAAAAAGGGTACTTTAGGGTGTCTTTCTACAGTGTTCTTGACTTTATAACCTTTCCTATCCATATAATAGGCATCAGGAAGGGGAAGAGGAGAGAAAATTAGAAAACATGCATTATGACATCACAATGCAAATTTTGTGACTTGGATACTTATGTTTGGCATTAGAACACAAGTACAAAAGGCCAGGGCTTGTATCATGACATTGTGATGCACAGTTACCATTTTTTTCATCGTGATATTTGGACCAGACACCTATGATCCATACAGATTCTATATTATTAAAGAAGAGATCACTGTTGTGAAAATGGCTGTAATTCATCTAGTTATGATAGAAGAAATTGTATGTGTATGTTTGAATAATATTTGAAAGGAAATATTACCACTTCTGCCTGGAATTATCAAGAATAGCAGAATCAAAGGCAGATTTGCACTAAGCCTTGGTTTGTTCTAACCCAAGGTGAGTCGAACGAGTAATTCTAAGATACTAATTATGCTTTACATATTACAATGACTTAGTTCATAAGTCAAAAGCAGACAAAGAAGTACAGGGCCTACCTAGATTTGTTGATATTCTTCTCTACTGACTTCCTCCAGACTTAGATGGGAATGACCAGCAATAAGGAATGAAGTATAAAGGTTCTGTACAGAAAGAAGATAAGGGACAACTGGCTTGGCATCATATTGATGTATACCAGATGTTGCTTATTTTCTGTTACCCAAGCTGTTTTCTTCATTGAAGTCATTCCATACTAGCAGCAAATCTGTATTGCCCCATACTTCAATAGAAGAGCACATTTTGTTAAACACTCTTGATTTTGGATCAAGAAATAGGAGTGATTTGTATGCAGATGTTTTGTAAGCTCCTGTGGTTAGTAATAATGACAACAATAATTTCTGATGTGTGAACCTATTAAAACAAATAATGAAAAATTCAGTTTCCTTTCTCTTTAAGATTGAGAAACATAGAGTCTGGCAATTAATGTTCTAAAGGATATGTTGGCATTTATGAATGAGAAATGTTTTGTGGAATTATATTTTGTTAAAAAGCTGGCAGTAATGTTTCATGTATTTTCTGTGCCTGTATCTCCACTCATTATTTTCCTCCAAGCTGAAATCATTAATGTTCACTCTTTGAGTGTAGTCAGTCAGACAACTGTGAGTCCAACTAACAATATCATCTTGCCTCATTTTACCTTTTTATCAAGGAGAACATCACAACAAATTGCAAATTGAAGGCTTTGCTAAGGTCCAGGTACACTGTGTTTATGGCATTTTCCTGATCTACTAAGCTAGTATCTCTATCAAAGGAGCGGTGAAGTTACTCTGGTACAATTTGTTTATGACCAACCCACACTGACTCCTGTTAACAACAGCATGCCTATCCAAATTCTACCATACATGCTGCTTCATAATCTAGTCAAAGACTTTATCTGGTATAAACATCAAACTGACAGAGCTGCAGTTTCCCAGGACCTTCTTCCTCCCCAAGATGGGGATGACATTTGTTCCCCCTCCCTCCAGTCCTCTGGGATTTCATCAGTCCTCCTGAGATTTTCAAGATTACCCTGGGATGTAATCCATCTGGCCCTGCAGAATTCAACTCATTTAAATTAGTGAAGGTTTTTCTTACCCTCTCTTTGTCATCCTAAGCTGCAATTTCCTTGTTCTCACAGTGGCATAACAATGACCTAGTGCCAGCCCCACTGTGTATACCAGACCAGAAATCAATGCCATAGGAAAGCTGAAACTACTTGTATTAAGATTGGCTATAATAACAGAACCTTGAAAGTCTGTTTATATTGTACCTCCTTTCTTCCTTATACTGCAGTGAATTAGGGAGGGGTCTGCCTGCACTGCTTCCAAATGTTATCTCATTGTTCTGGACTTAAAAAATGTTTCAGACCCTTTTGCCTAAGTAATCACTCCTGCATGTTTCCATCAAGGTCATCTTCCTTATTCTCTACACCTAGACTGGACATGTAGTTCCTGCTTAAATATTAGGTGGAAGCTATGGCCAGGAGATCCTTTGACCAGCTTCAGCTGATGTACCAGTTATGGCCCTACCAGGACCAGGATGAGTCACACCTTAATCACCACTGAACTGGACTATTGTAACATGCTGTGTGTACGTCTGCCCTTAGACACCCAGAAGCTACAGCTTTTACAAAGCACAGCAGCTAAAATGTTGGTAGGTCAATCTCACCAGTGCAAAATAACACCCAATGCTAGTAGGATATTTCCAGGCCTGTCAGAGGGCTGTTCATCACCTCTAAAAACCTACACAGCACAGTACAGTTTAATCAGGCAATGTCTTGTCAGAATAGAGTTTGCCCATCTCTTTTGGTCCTTGTGAGAAGGCCTGCTGAGAGTCCTCTGACCTTTTAAGGTACATGGGATGTGGACAAGGTGAGAAGCCTTCTTGGTACCAGCTCTCCTTTTATGGAGGTCAAAACAGTCCCATTCTATCATGCCCTTGTGGGTGCCATTATGGTTTAATAGGAATTTGTTGTATTACTTGAGGGATTGTGTTACTCGAGGGATTGTTTTATTTGGATTTTTGTGTGTTTTTCTGTCTTTGTTTTGCTGTCCTTCAGGATTAGGGCAAGCTAGACATTCAGTAAGATGGTATAGATAAGATAAGATGGTAGACAGAGTCACCAATAAATGAAAACCTTCAAATACATCCCAAGGTTTTACAGTCAGCCTCTTGATTTGCAAGACTAACATATTATTTGTGTTTTATTTGCTAGATAGAAGATATCATTACAAGAATGCAGGATGACAAAACAGGTGGAGTGCCCATCCGCACCGTCAAGAGCTTTCTGTCGAAAATCCCTAGTGTTGTCACAGGTATGAATTTAATTAAAAGGTAACATATTTTTCGTCCAGATCCATTATGTGCTCAAACTGTGAAGGAAATTCACAACCTTCATCAACGGTTCTTTCCAATTTCAGCTTAATCGTTCTGTATTTTCCCCTCTTCATTCTCATGTAATTCTAGCATTAATGCTGATGCCTCAAGGATGTTAGGCCAGAAGTCAAGGGTTCCACTCAGCAAAATGAGCAGGAGGATTAGAAAACACAGTAGCCCGGTTTCACACATTTTAAAAGAAGTTAAGTATTTTATACATCACTATCTAAAAAACTTTGTCCCTACTGAAAGGTCAGTGAATATGGGACTAAAATACCCAGCTTCACTAATAAGCACATATTCTTTCAACTCCTGGGCTCTGAGCAAAACTTCAAGGAAACCGGCACAGGTAATTTGGAGGTAGAAAACAGCTTTCAGGTAATGTTTCAAACCAAAAATATTTTCAGCATAAAACAGCTTTTTCCCATCTTCTGAGAAGTGCTGTTCCAAAAAGATCTTGTTTTGAACTCAGAAAGCTTCTGAAATAGTCAGAACAGTCTTGAAGTGGTTCTAGTGAAGTCAAGTCAGCTATTTCCTACTCAAAAGAGTGTGTTTCAAAGTCAAAGCCTTTGCACACCATTGACAAGGAGGATTGGGAACTGGGGAAGCTGAGATAGTTTCCCAAGAAAGTAGTTTTTGCTTCAGAGTTATGGGCCTCTGAAGCTGAGTCCTGGCTGCTTCTTTGCAAAACAGGGGACATGATTTTCAACTGCAGAATGCTATATGTACATCACTCTCCCCTCTGCTGGCACAGTTTCCTTCTAGCTTCACCAACAGTCAGCATCGTTTGCTTTGTTTCTTTTACCCAGCAGTGCAGGTTTGAGCAATTTGATTATGTTGTAAACATAGATCTAGAAGTGGTATGGAGAAAAAAAAAATGCAGGTAGTGGATTTTCCCCCAGTGAGGAAAGGGTTAAGAATTTTTTCCCACAGGATTAATTGGCAATCTTGCCCTCCCACTTCTATTTTGCACAGTAAAATCAGTGACAGCTTGGAAGGCATGAAGATAATAGAAGTGGAATCTGTAGCTTTGCCCCAAGTACCTAAGAATGGCTCCAAAGTTTCAGAGAGTCAAAGGCCTGCCCCATCCTGTCCTGTGCTCTATTGGAACACCTGTCCTGGAACTTGTGTTCTCTGGTTTCATTGGGTGGCTTCCAGATGCATCCTTTTCATTAGGCAAGAGCTTATGAGAGAATGAATAATCTCAAGAAGTTGCCAAAACTGCAAAATCATGTTGCTGTAGTACAGGTAGTCCTCACTTAACGACTACAGTAGGGACCGTAAAATTGGTCTTTAAGCAGGGTGGTTGTTAAGCGAGTTACCACATGACTGGACCCAATTTTACAACCATTTTTATGATGGTCGTTAAGCAAAACATGGTCATTAAGTGAATCCAGCTTCTCCAATGGACTTTTTTTGCTGGAATTCGCTTAATGACGACATGGTTCATTTAATGGCTGCAGTGATTTGCTTAACAACCATCATAAAAAATTGCAAATTGCGATCATGTGACCGCGGGGGGTGGTATGACAGTTTGCAATGGTCATTAAGTATGAGTACAGGTTGTAAAGCACTTTTTCCGAGGCCATCATAACTTCAAACCACTGCTAAATGAACAGTCATTAAGCAAGGACTACCTGTATCATAGAAGGTGATCTTACATGGGTACATTTGTGTCCAAGAGGAAGTTCTGGGCAAGAACACAGGTTCTAGTACAGCAAAGAAAGGAAGGCAAAGTGCAGTCTCCCATAAATCAAGGTAGAGTACAGAAGATAGGAGACGTTTCTTGTTTTTTGCAAAAATTCATATTCCATGCAGCACTCTGGATAGCTCCCTATCTACAGATACAAACAACTAGGATCCAATGTAGGGGCTAGGACCAGATCAAAGGCCTAAATAGGGCATGAAGGGTACCTAGTTCTATCTTTGCTGACAGCAGATTTTCTGGAGGTATAGGCTTTAATGGCTGTCAGAGGGTGTGAATGGATAAGAACAAAGCCAGTTAACATTTGTATACAGTGCTGTTTATTGCTATACAGGTAGTCAACTTACAATTATTTGTTTAATGACCATTCTAAGTTATGATAGTGCTGAAAAAAGTGACTTACAACCAGTCCTAGCACTATGACCGTTGCAGTGTCCCCACGGTCACATGTTCAAAATTCAGGTGCTTGGCAACCAACATCCATTATATTTATTTATTTATTAATCAAATTTATATACCACCCATCTCTATAAGTGTATAATTGACTCTAGGCAGCTTACAAGTAAAAAAAAAAGCTATAAAAAATATTTTTAAAAATATACAAAGTTAAAAGATGGACAGAGATCCTCTAGCCACCAACCACCCCCAGTGCTGTGAACCCGCATTGGATCCCCATGCTAGTCAGCAGAGCCAGTGGGGGCCAATCTCACCTCAGGGGGACAAGACGTTCCACAGGGCAGGGGCAATGGCAGAAAAGGCTCTCCTCCTATACCCCACCAGTCGAAATTCTTTCGCTGACAGGGGACATAAAATGCCGTTCGTGCCAGACCAGGTGGGATGAGTCAGTATAATTGGGACGAGATGGTTCCTCAGGTGACCTGGGCCCATGCCATGAAGGGCTTTAAAGGTGTTTAAAACACCTTGAATTGGATCCAGAAGCAAACCTGCACCCAATGTAACTCAGACAGTAGAGATATTACATGTACAGCCCTAGAGGTGCCCATAACTGCCTGTACCACCGCATTCTGCACCAGCTGCAGCTTCTGGATACTTTTCAAGGGTAGCCCCATGTAGAGTGCATTGCAATAGTGCATACATGAGATGACCAGGGCATGAGTGACTGAGAGAAGGGCTTCCCGATCCAGGTAAGGGTACAACTAGCACATAACACCGAGTTGAGCAAAGGCCCTCCTAGCAGAAGTCATGAGTCCAGGAGGATCTCCAGATTATGCACCAGGTCCGTCTGGGGCAGTGCAACCCCATCCAGAACCATAGATGGTAAGCCCCCAGATACAGAAGACCCCTGCACCCACAGCCACTCCATCTTACCAGGGTTCAGTTGAAGCCTGTTGTTCCCCATCCAGACCCCCACGGCCTCCAAGCACCATGAAAGAAATCCACAGCATCACTTAGTTCACCTGGGATAGAGATGTACAATTGAGTATTGTCTGCATACTGATGATACTTCATCCTGTGGTGACAGAGGATCTCACCCAGCAGCTTCATGTAGATGTTAAAAAGGAGCAGAGAGAGCACCAAGCCCTGTGGCACCCCACAAAGCACAACAAAACAAAACAAAACACAAAAAGACAAAACCCCACAAAACACAAAGCACCCCACAAAGCAAATTTACGGTGGTTGCAGTGTCCCAGGGTCACATGATTGCCATTTGCGACCTTCCCAGGGGACTTCCAACAAACAAAGTCAATGGGGGAAGCCGGATTCGCTTAACGACCATGTGATTTGCTTAATGACCGCGGCAAAAAGGTCGTAAAATTGGGTGTGACTCACATAATGGCCAGATTGCTTAGTGACAGAAGTTTTGGTCCCAATTGTGTTTGTAAGTTGAGGACTACCTATACAAGCTTAGTACAAAGCATATTCATAAGATTTTTAGTGAATTTCTGCATGTGTGTGTGTATATACACTGTGCATGTATATGTGTGTGTGTATATATTAGATTTATTGCTAATTAATAGATCTAATTATGAGTTGCATTTTTACTACTTCCTTTTGTAGGGCCAGTGTTTAGCTGCTAGTTTCTGCCTCCTCCCACACTTACTTATCTTAAGCACAGATTTACAAATGCTAACAACATCTGTCCTTAACACACTCTTGCCCAGTTTTCCAGCACCTGAATATTTGGAATCTGTTCTCCACTATCTAGAGTCCAGGGCTGCATTTTCCTTTTTGCTGGCTCTTTTTGCAGATTCCTTCTTTGGCTTCAGCTGCCACAGGCTCCTGGTTCTTCTCCCTGACTGTGGATCCTCTGGTTTCTGGCTCTCGCAGCCATTGCCTCCTCTGTTCCACATCTCTTCTAGTCACCTCTCTCTCCAACAGCATCTCTTGCCAAACCTAGAAGAAAATCCCCCTCCTTTTGAAATCTACATGCCAGTTTTCAAGCAATTCTAGGGAGCTTAACCTTTTTTTCCCCTTTTCTCTGCAACTGCTCACGTGGCCAAGCTGTGCCCTTGACAGTCAGACTACGACAGAGAAAAAACATTGACCTTTACAGTTGCGTGTAACATTTCTCTGTTCTAGGGCAGTTCATCCTACCTCAGTGGCAGGGAGGGGTCATACTATATTGGAGCTTCTGGGTTGAAATGCATTGTCTCAGAGGATGGCATTGCCACTTGTTCAGATTAGAAACCTGGTGAGGTGAACTGCCTTGAAACTGAATTCATAGCAAAGCAGGATCATCTGGGTTCAACGCTGAGGGCAATTACATCTTCCACTTTGCAGTGGGAGGAATTGATTCTAGTTGTGCCACTTATTTTTTGAGGATTCTAAAACCCATTGCCAGCTGAAGAAAGGGCTAAAAGTTAGTTGAACTACTTGTTTTAATTTGTGAAACACATTTAATAAGATCAGAAATAGCCCAAAGAACTTTTCAATTTGCATATTCTGCCTATTTTATATTGAGTACTTTCAGGCATCCAGAATTCTGGGAGAAGCCGGAAATGCCGATATGAAGATAACCTATGCATAGGTTGGTCATATTATCTGAGATCTGTATTTGATATTTTTCCTGTTACAAAATATGATTTATCAAAACAAAGAGGCGTATGCAGTCAATGCTTATTAAAGTTGACAGTGTACATAACGGGAATGAATTATGCAGATTAGATATATTTGCTTAAATGTGGCACATTGTTGCATGTTTATTTGTGGGCCTCACTTGTTCCCTTTATATTGTCAAATTAGGCTGTGCAGATAAATGTCTAAAGGACTTGC